TTTTTTTCGTGGCATTGGTTGCTCTTTGGATGATATCTGCCCTGAAGACTTAGATTACGTTAATATTGCTAGTCATAGTCCCTGTATACTGTGGTTATATAGTGTTGTCTTGGTTGCTAGCTACTTTGGGTGTTGTGGTTAAGCAAATTGTTGCCTTAGCCACCAACCACATTTTTTTAGTCTAAACTCTGACTTATTAACTTCTCTCCACACCGCTTCCTCTTCAGAAAACTGCTGTGATATGATGTGCTATGCCTCTAGGTGAAATGATCTAGATGTTGGTTAGCCCATTCATCCCAAGGATGCCTGTAAAGCTCTCTTTTACTTCCTCACTGACTCACTCATATGTGGTTATTGACTGTCCACTTACAAGCCCATCCAATGGTCTGGGACTGAAATCTGGGTCTTATGAGTAGATCTGAGAAGACGCAGATCTTCCTCCTGCCCTTAACCTTCCCTACATCATTCGTGGTTTACAATTTCTAGTAAAATGCAGGTGGTAATTTCTGTGTATTGAGTACCCTCTTTCCACTTTTAAAATGGCAAACTGCCCTGAGAAAAGCAACATATTGCTAAAATTATTATACATGAATTTATAAAATTAAGAGAGCGAGAGAGATGGGACATGAGGACATAAAGCAGCTTACAAGGGGAGAAGAGAAGGGACAGAAGTGGAGGTTAGAAATAAAGAGGACCTGTAGTCTCTGAAGAGCCCCCTGAGGATTGGCCGTAGGACTGTAGCGGCCAAGCAAAGATCCTGTGCTCTTCCCAGGAACCATCGTATAAACCTAGCGCAAGTACAGCAGGTGAAGGGGACTCAGTTGTTTCAAAATATTAAAGTCATTTGTTGATGTGTAGCTCAGAACAGCGATTCAAGTTGAGTACTTCTTTCTCCCATTAGACAAGAGAACCTTGGATGGACAAATGGATCATCTGTTCCTTTTAGCTATTGGCAGAAAGGCAAATGTAAGAACTGACAAATTTAAAATTTCAGACTAAAAGAAAGGCTTATGTTTCCATGTTAAGAGTCATCATATTTGATTCTTTAAATATAAGTAAAGTAAAAGTCTCTACATTTTAGAGTTCTTCAAGTATTGCTAATGTATGCCTTGTATTGCTAATGGCATTTTTGTATTATACTTAAATTTTATATTATAAAGCCATTAAATTTTTAAGCATGAAAGAGGGACTGCATTTAACAAAAGAATAGGTATAGAGTTTATATGCCAGTACCATTAGGTATTTAAGGATAAATATAATTAGGGCAGTTTAAAATTTGACTAATTAAATTCTATAGAACATCTGAATATCTCGAGAGAATATGGATACTAAAAGCCACTAGAATTTTGTTTTCAATTAGGCGTATATTGACTGGTCATGTGGACATGTTTTTGGGTCCAAACTACAAATCTTCAGATTTAAAAGCAGAGTGACTTTGTGTAACTGGATGTAATTATACTCAACAGGGTTTAAATAAACGTCTTAGCAATGTTTTACAGATTAAAAGAAACTGTGTATAAGAGGCTTGGTAATATAAAGATTCTAAATTCAGTAATTTCTCTTGTTGACTTAGTTTATACTATTTCCAGTTGATCTGTATTTTCTAGTTTCTTTTTTTTATTATTTTTTTTAATCTTCTACTTTCTAAAGTTAAATGCCGATTTTTTCTTAATCCAAAAGCATGTGATTAAAAATCTGTCCAATTAGGCACATTGGTTTAGAGAGTTATCCTGTTGCTATTCAGTTAACAAGAAGAAAAATTCTGTAAACTCACCAACAAAGTGTGAGGGTAAAAATTGGAAGGAGACTTCTGTGCTGTTGGAGGAAGACAGTTCATTGTTGTGGAAATATTTGGCATAGATTGCTAGTGTAGTCCTTTCTTGGCTATGAAATACCACACTGTCTAATATAACATTTTAGAAGAAAATTAAGAAAAGATGAATGTGAAGAAAAATGCATCTTCCTTCAGACAATATGGAGTAATTTCAGCTGTTTATTCAAGGACTTAAATTGTTGCTTTATAAAAAATAGTATTCTAAAATTATGAAACTGAAATGCACTTCAAAATCCCCTACTTCTTAGTTTTTAAGAAGTCAGAGGGGCATGACCAAAATTAAAATTAAGTCAATTTGTAATTCTTAGCACTTAGTCAGGTATCTCACAAGAAACACAGGGCCTTATATTAATAACTATTCTGTGCGAATGAATGAATGAATGAGTGAATAACCTGCTGTCCACATTTAACTGGCTTTTTTGGTTTATGTACTATATAATTTTAAACTAATTACCGGATTCCCACCAGAAACTATTTTATGCTTATTTTTTCCCCCAAAAAGTATTTTATGCAAAATAGCCTTAAAAAGAAAGGTTCGCAACAAAGATATGAAATTGTGGATAATTTTTTATTTTGTTCTTTCTCGTTTTGTGCATTTTTCAAATTTTTAACAAAAATGTTATATAGCTAACTATTTTCAAGATACATGACTAAAATCTATCTTAAAATGAAATACAAATTTCACCTCTCATATCTAATATCTCATCTGTGATATAAATTACAGAGGCCTTGCTTTTACATTAAAGCCTACTTTAAAAATTAATGTAATTATAGCCAAACAATGTGTCTAAGATTAACTTAAAGGAAGTAGACTTTTATCTTAACCTGAAGAGTCTGAATTAACGTTCCTGCCAAATATATAGAGCAATGTCACTTCCATTTTGTAGTATCCTTTTCTGAAAAACAAGCAAGATACTAAGTTGAATGCCAACTTTCTTCTTGCAAGTATAATAACATTATTTTTATTATCAAACATTTATAATGTTGGGTAAAAATGTTATTCTAAGTATAATCATTCGGTTTGAATGATTGAACTAAAATGAGTCATGCTAACCAATAAAAATAACCCCTTGCTCTCCCTGATAGGAACTTGAACCCCGGTGTATGGGTATTCTGAGCCACTGTAGCAGTTGGTAGTTGAATCCTGTGACTAATGGTAGAGATTTTTGTCAAGGTTGATCACATAGACCTAGATATCCGCCCACTGGAATGACATAGCAGGGAGATATCTGATGAATATTGTGAAACATCTGTGAATGCGTCACAGCTATGCCTGGATGTGAATCATTCTTCCCTCAAAAATCTAAAGTTTAATAGTGAAAAAATTCCAAACTGTTATCCCATAAACTAAGATGTTTGGCCTATTTTAGGAGTTGGGAGGGAATGAATACAACACATACTCTAAGACAATGGTCGGCAGACTGCGGCTTGTGAGCCACATGTGGCTCTTGGGCCCTTGAATGTGGCTTTTCCACAAAATACCACATGCGGGCAAGTGTACAGTGCGATTGAAACTTCGTGGTCCAAGCCTGGGCGAGTCTGTTTTGAAGAAGTGGCATTAGAACACTCAAGGGGCCAAAGAGCCACATGTGGCTCGCGAGCCGTGGTTTTCTGACCACTACTCTAAGACATTTGTCAGTAAGTCATTTGGCTGTGATTTAAGCCTTTAAACTTAGGAGAGCCTAAAAACTTGTTGAAGGTCATCAGGGAGAGTCGTGGGCCACTGCATGCAATAAAATACACCTTCTTCCATTGATCGCTGCCAGAGACTACAGCACTTACCAGCTTTTCTGATCGGGATTTCTTATCTTTAAATTCAACTTGGTTAAAAGTGTGCAAAGCATGATGGAGACACTCCCAGCTCACAAGTCCATGACTCTTAAGGGACCTTGTGGGAGCATTTGGTGTGCAGCTCTTTCAGTGACAGTTTTCTTTACTGAAGGATCCTATTTCACCCTGGTTTTCCTAATTTGGGATTAAACTCTTTTCTTTAGGCTACTACTAAAAGTAATAAAAATAAAGCAAAACTGGAGGTTTGTGTGAGGCTAGCTAAATGTGCAGCTGTGATTCCCTAGGTACTGCTCATGCTCCTTTTACAACTCTTTCTGGGGAATGTGGCCTACCTAGTTATTGAGACAGGGTGGTGAGTAGGGGCATAGGTTAGTCTGCTTTGGTTTCAATTCCAGGAGCAACCTGCCACCTCAATAGCAACTGAAATATTTGTCTTGTCATTTGACCTTTTCTCCGACATTTTGATATACTTACCTTTGCTGCTTTTGATTCTTCTTTTTGAGCCTGTATGAAGTCTATTGACCAGGGATGTTCACAAATAACAGTGTGTTTGTGTGTGTCTTTGTGCTTTGTGATATGTGAGCAAGTTGTGGTGGATGCCTTTGCCAATAAATAACAATCATACTTAGAAATTTATATATTTTATGAGAATGTTTTAGCTATGGCAAACATTTATAAGAGTTTTTAAGAATGAGATAAGTATTTTGTAAGTTCAGATTTTGTGGGATATGTATATATCTGTTTGACAATGGTATAATCAATGGGGCCAACTCCATTAAAGTAGATTAACGGGTTGTAATCCAGAAGTTCTCTGCAATCTTTAAATTATAGACTTTGTGGACTGTTGGAAAAACAGATCTGTAAATAGAAGAAAATAATGAAATGTGTGAATGTGATGCACTGCTAACAAAGACTAAATTAATTGGATTTGTCCTACAAAATATCAAAAAGTAAATGCATTCCCATTGTTTTGTTTTAAAATAGATATACAACCATTGTTTTTCATTGAAATGGATATTCACACATTTTATCTGATGATATTTGGGAAAAATGAAGATTTTTTTCTCTTTTTTTAAAGGAAAGCATGAAGAAGATTATACACATGGGAATATTAATTACTTAAAATCAGCAATAGTTTCTGTTATGAACTTGAAAGCAGTTATGTTACTAAACATGAGAACAATAATTTTTTCCTAAATGTGCAGTATAATGACCAGGACTTCTCTCCCTTTTTAGAGAAGCAGTCAAGTGCTTTTGGAACAGAAAAGGCAGCAGTGACCCAGTGAGGTTAATTCCTCACCGAGGAGAGCTGTGCATACCTAACTTATTGGAAGGTAAACTGCTCTTCAATTAATTATGTCCTCCTTTTCTCAAGGTGTCCAAAGACAGGAGGTGGTCTGCAAAAGACTGGATGACAGCTCTATTGTCCAGAACAATTACTGTGACCCTGACACCAAGCCACCTGAAAAGCGAAGAGCCTGCAATATTGAGCCCTGCTCACCTGAGTAAGTAAAAGAAGATAATTATTTTCTTCAAGTGAAAAAAGAAAAACATTGGGTGTTCACATTTGGAAACATGTACTCATATTATGTGATTAAGTTAAACAGAGAAAAGGGGATAAAACATCACAGCAGGTAGAATTTTGATGAGCCTTTCAATGAGCAAAGATGCCTGTTTACGCACAGGATTCCGTTAACTCCTCTAATGCAGGAACTTCAGTAGGCTGATCCTGGCACAGTGCTGGAAACTATCATATTTCATCAATTGCTAAAGCACACATCTTTTCCTATTTTAACATCTCTGACATTAGGATTTATTTTGCAACCAATTGTGTCTTACAATAATAATCATTTTCTTCTTTCATTTTTTTCATAATTTTAAAAAATATATTTTTATTGATTTCAGAGAGGAAGGGAAAGGAAGAGAGAGATAAAGAGAGAAAAATATCAATGATGGAAAGAATCATTGATCTGCTGCCTCCTGCACACCCCCTTCTGGGGATAAAGCCTGCATCCCAGGCATATGCCCTTGATGGGAATCGAACCTGGGACCCTTCAGTCCACAGGCCAAAACTCTATCCACTGAGCCAAGCCGGCTAGGGCTATTTTTTTTTCTTTCTTAATGGTACATAAAATAATGGAATATGAGATTCAATAAAATATAGTAGATAAAGTGCAGTTCAATATTTTCCAGGTATTTATTCTAAAGGTCTAAAGACTTCGAACGTGGTTTTAAAAATATTCTGCATTGGAATATCTGTGCTTTAATTTCTGGCCCAGTTTTAAGTTCTGTCATCCTAGGCATCTTGTCTTTGGAGTTGGACACTGAGGTGTAACTTCAGCCTCTTTCTGCTGATGGATGTAGCCATTAGAGCTTACTGTAAAGGGAGGCACATGGAGAGAACCATTCATCTTAACGATTACTTTTAAAGAATTAAAACTTAGAAATATGAAATCTCCTGTTAGTGAGCCACATTTTATAATCTGTAAGAACACAAAGGCTTCTTGTTTGAGCAAAAGGCAGTGACTGTGTGAAAAAAGACAAGGATTCTGAGTTGATCATGTAAATACTGATCTTCATAGGGATTTTGCCTGTTGGACAACTGCAAGACAAAGTCTGTGTGAATGGCACTGCATTCTTGTTGCAGAGTAACCAATATCCTCCTGGTTAACTAACTACTCCAACATGAACTTGATAAAGAAGGAGAGAGTAAGCAAATGAATTTATATGCCCCAGGATAAAAGTAATTTCTTTTTTTTAGAAATGATTACAATTATCAATAGTTACAAAAACAGGGACTTACAATGAGTAAGGAGTTCAGGTCCCATTATAGTTAAAGCAAGATGTATTTCTCAATATTTATTTCAAAGCAGTAATGCCTTATGAACTTTCATTATCCAAACTCAATATTTGCCTGAATATTTGATGTTCACTACAACTCATCTCTTGAAACTATTCAGGGCAGTGGCTACAGAATAAGGACACGGGACTCTAGAGTGATAGAAGTTTTTATTTTAAGAATTTAAAATTTTTATGTCTCTTCTTTATGAAATATGATCACTGTCGTTTTTTCCTTAACATCCAGACATGGGAAACATATATAAATATGACCCATGAGATGTATTGTAAAGACAAGATATTTAATTGCGTGTTTTTTTCTCTCTCACTTTCCCTCTCTTTTGCCAATTACAAGTTTATTTCAAAAAGAAAAACTATATAAAACAAAATGATGCTCAAAAACCTTGGGCTAAGCTGAGACCAGTTTGGCTCAATGGATAGAGCGTCGGCTTGGGGACTGAAGGGTCCCGGGTTCGATTCCGGTCAAGGGCATGTACCTTGGTTGCAGGCATATCCCCAGTAGAGGGTGTGCAAGAGGCAGCTGATCGATGACTCTCTCTCATAGATGTTTCTAACTCTCTTTCTCTCTCCCTTCCTCTCTGTACAAAATCAATAAAATATATTTAAAAAAAACAACAACAAAAAAAACCACCTTGGGCTAAATTTTTAAGTTTTCAGTAACTTCAACATATTTTCATATAATTATGAGTCTCAACCCATCAACTTAATTCCCTGACACTCAGGATTTTAAGTATTGTGTTTGGCATTTGATCAGCCATTTAAGGCATCTGAGTGGGTCTGGTCACACCTGTTCTATTTTGGCCTCAGCTGTTTTATTTTGTTAAAGCTTAAATGCTATTCAAATGTCCTTTGAGATTTCAGTGGTTGGTCATTCCATCCCATGTATTTTAGGCTTGGCTATTACATGAGGGGGTGTGTGTGTAACACTTTAAGGATAATTGGCTTATTTGAATTGGCATACATAATTAAAATTAGATTTTCTCTTTTTGAATTCTGAAAAAAGTTATTTATTAACTTTAAAATTTGAAGCTGAGATGATGGGATTTGAAAAAGAAAGGTAAAGAGGATATGAGAAGAGGAAAATTTAGGCTGACAGTTTTTTTGAGGGGGGGGAATTAAAGAACATCTAAAATATTACTCTTTGTTGGTTCATTTTTTTCTTAATTCCTTTTAAATTTATTCTTTATTCCTTGAATTCAGATTGCGGGGAAAAAACAAACACACCTCTAAGTCTTCAGAATGGTTGTATATGATTCTCAGTAGACATTGTATTATAGAGATAAAAATCATAGGAAGACTATTGAATTCAGTAAAACTTTATTTTTAAAAAAATTTTTAAATATTTTTTTGTTGATTTTTGTTGATTTTAGAGAGGAAGGGAAAGAGAGAAGAAGCTAGAAACATCAATGATGAGAGAATCATTGAGTAGCATGATCCTTCATGCCTCACACTGTGGATTGAGCCTGCAACCTGGGCATGTGCCCTGACCAAAAGTTGAACTATGACCTGCTGGTTCATATTGGTTGATGCTCAACCACTGAGCCATGCCATGCCAGCTGGGCTGAATTCAATAAGACTTTAAATGAGTGTGGAAGAAAGAAGATAGGTGTTTTGTTTTTTCAGATGATGTGATAATTGTATTTGCTTTTTTTTTTTTTTAACACAGATTAAAACAAAGGTTTTGAAATGCAGATAAGTAAAAAAAATTAAAACACCTATAATACTTATAATATCACTGTTAATACTTTGATGTATATATTTTATGACTTTTTTCTATGTCTGCATAGGCATGAGTATATAACAAAATGTATAATAATAATGTTTATTTTACTTTATAGTAAGTTCTCACCATTATTTTGAACATTAAATATCTTCCACTAAATATTTAGTAGATATGTCATTGTTTATTTAAATTAGCTTCCCACTATTAAACAATTTTGGTAGTGTCCTAGCTCTTAATCCTTTACAAAACCATAGTATTAAGCATTTTTGCTATGAAAACTTTGCTCTCTGTCAGTATACCCTTATGCTACATGCATAAGAATAGAATTTCTGGTTCAAATAGAAATATAATTTAGTCCTTTAGACACATTGTCAAATAGCTCTTTAGAAAAAAAAACATACTCCCATTAATAGTATATAAGAATGTCATTTCCCTAAACTGAACAACCCTGGATATTATTACTTTAATACTTAACTTTGACTATTTTATAGGGAAAAAAGCCTTGATATCTAACTGCTGTTCCACTTGTATATCAGATTGCTGATGAGGCTGAACATCAAAAAAAAAAAAAAAAAAAAATTGTGACCAGTGGCCATTACTTCTTTTTTGCTTTTTCTACTTCATGGCCTATCCCATTTTCCTGTTGAAGTGTTATCATTTTGTTATTGATTTGTATGAGCTGTTAATGGATTAAGAATATTCACTCTTATCTGTGCTCCAAATAATTTTCCTAGTTTGTCGTATGTTTTCCATATTATTTATAGTGTTATGATCTATTTTTATTTATGAGTTTTAAAATATTATATGGAAAAGCTCCCAAAAATATTTCTTTCATTAATATAATGTTTAGGAAGGCCTTATCCAATCTAAGATACTTTCAAATTTTTTAAATGTACCCTTTGATCTATCTAAAATATATTTTTCTACTTTGAGGAAAGGATCCTCATTTATCTTCACATATTATTGTTTTTTTCAATACCATTAATTTAAAATCCTAAATAGTACTTTTCTAATCAAAAACAATCTTTTCAAATAATGAAATATTTTAAATGTCTTTAAGTCACATTAGAGAGTTTATAAGTAGAATATTGAAAAATAAAAGGCTGTAGGATTTGTTGTATAAAGAAAATGCAGGGGACTAGAAAGACTAGATAAAAGAGACATTGGTAGAGAATTAATAACAATAACTATTATTCATTTGGAAGATCTTGAAGGGTCAGAGAAAGCTTTGCTGGGGAAAATTAATGTGCTCAGAGCAGCAATTCTTTTATAAGAAAGAATATAGTAATGAAGAAATGACATGGGACAGGAGGAAACGTTGAATGAAAAATGGTAGAATTCATGACAAAGGTTGAAATAATTGGAAAAGGGAAAAGGAGGAGTTGATATTAAAGATATGATTGATAGGATGCATAACTGATTGAAACTCCGCCTAAAATCGGAAATAATGCTGAGTTGGAATCGGGAGAGAAAGGCCTAGAGATCAGTTTTGACCATGTTTTCTTTTAATAGTAAGAATATTTCTATAAATGGCCACATGTGAAGAATCCTTATATACTGAATCTTATTCCAGTATGAAACTGTGGTTTTTAAATTGAGAAAATCAGGAAGGTGAAAACAGTGGAGTGCTCTACATTGTGGAAATACTGTGACCGAGCATTAGAAGACAGTTTTTACATAAGTCAAAACTGCCTTCTAATGCTCCGTCACAGTATTTAGTGTGGAAGGCACGGTGCTTTGGGCAAAATGGTTCCTTTTCTAAGGACAATCTAATTGGGTGGATTCATATAAAAATAATTACAGTACAAGACAAAATATGCAAAGAGCAATTAGAGAGTTATAAGCAAAAGTGCTAAAGGATTCTGTGGCTGGAGAGAGATTTTTACCAAAGGGCTAGGCTTAATTTAATGGTATCTTTTATGGTAGAAAGTTCAACAATTATTTGACTCATTGTGCCTCACCCATAGACAATTATAATTGGTTAAGTTTAGAAAAAGATTCATCAGCGTCCTCTATAAAACTCCGAAATTTAAGACCTGGGAAGAATTATAGAAATCATGTAGGCCAACTCCTATCATTTTACTGTTGAGGTAGCTGATCTCTAGCGATGTTTTTCCCATTATACCAGACATCACCAACTTTCTAAGTTACAAATCAAACGTCTGCTGGCATTTTAATACTTCTAGTTTTGTTTCATCAACACATTCTCAATTGCCACAATTTCAGAGATGTTTATTACATTGATTATTATTATTATTATTATTATTATTTTTTAGAAAAATGGTTAGGGCATAGAGGCTTCTGCTTAATATTAGATTCACTTGCCAATTAGCTGAGGAAAGAACAATTTTTCTTTTTCTTTCTTTCTTTTTTTTAAACCAACTTTTTGTTTTGAAAATTGTTCAAAAAACCTAGGAAAGTTTCACTATTTACAAGTAGTTAATAGGTTACATACTTGAACCTCTCTGAGTAAAGATGTTACGGTCAAATTCTGAAGATTCTTTTTCATTTAGTGATGTGGTATTTATAAAAATTTTTGATAACTAGACCCTTGACTCTGGGATAAAGGTTGGAAAACTTTAATACGCATTTCAACCTCTCAATCTCTTTCACTCATAATCCAAATATTTAATATAAATTTATTTTTATGTGCTCTGCCATTTCCCTTTAAGTTAAAAAAGCAAAAATAATATTCTGATTTTCTGATGAGTTCTTTCTTCTAAAATATTCTGATTAACCAAAGTTGGGGCAAAGTTTTTTCTAGTGTCTCTCTTATTTCCTCCTCCCATCCATATTATTGTTTGACCTGTTAGTGTATGGATACTGCAAATTAAATTACATAGGCTGCACCAAACACTTTTATTCCAGACACTCAAATACGAATCCACTAATTGTCAGTGTCTCATGGATATGAGGGTGCTTGTGAGGATGAAGACAGTTTGACCACCGGGTCTTCAGCTCAGAGAGAAACGGCTTCGGTGTTGTTCAGGCTATAACAATTCAGCGAGTGGCATTCCCAGAGAGAACTTTGGTGTTTAGATGGCTCCCACCGAATCTAGAGGAGGAAAAGAAGGAGTAGGGGGAATGTCACCAGAGGGTCCACTACGTGGAGAATGCAGGTGAAGAAAGCTGTCTGTCTTCAACTGGACAGGGGGGTGGAGACACTGAATCAATAGATGTAGTGGCAAAGCTGCAAAACTATGTAAATACTTGGAGTATTAAATCAAGTATTAAATACTTGATTTAATCCTTCAGAGAGACCTGGGGAGGGATGATTTTCTGAGCAATAAATATGCAACAGGAATTGACTGTGAATCAGAGTTACAGTCAGAAGGGAAATAGGGAGGGTGGTTTATAACTTTTACTTTTGTGCATTCCAAGTTAAATGCTGGAGTGACACATCTCTGCTAAGAGATGGTTGGCAATAAAGGAGAGGATGAAGAATAAAAAGGCGGAGGTGGCCCTGACCTCGTGCAACAAAGAACAGCAACACCCCCTGAATCACTGCTGTTATTCTGAGCACCTGTGTTTAATTTGAGGGCCTCCATCCCTCTTACATTATGAGACCTAATGAGATCATGGCTGGAGGTGGTATGACTGAACATTTTGTGGCTGAGTATACACATTTCTGTTTTATCCCCTAATCTTGGTGATGAAATCACTGTTGCGAATTGAATCAGAGTTTCACTACGGCTGGCATGCAAGTTATTATTCTCAGTACACATTTTCCTCTTTACCAAAAATGGTACTATATCTTGGGATCATGCTCATCTGTGGAAAACAAAACAGAAAGATGAAAACCACTTTAAATGTTCTCTGGAAAATGACTTAGAAAAAAAGGTTTTGTCAGATTTTTTAAATTAAAGATTAAATTATTTTTAAAATCAATTTTAGGTTGAAAATTTTTAGATTTTGACAAGAAGCTGAGAATCTGCTTAATTATGATACCCCTAAATGCTGGTTTCCCTCTATAAATAAAAATAATTCAAATAATAATAAGCAAAGGGCATTGTGGCATATTTGGCTAAATGCAGGCTCAAATTTAGGCTGCTGGTACTCGGACTTCACTAAGGAACCATCTTCCGCATATAAAACTGGCACAATGATCTAAGGTTGCTGAAATAATGAGAAATTTGTTCTTAAGCGTTCAGACTCCTCTCTGGGTAGTTGCCCACCCAAAACCATGAGCATATCCATTGATAGTTGCATGATTTGTAGTCATGGATTGAAGAAAATGCCTTGTGACCTCGTGCTTGTAACCAAGATTCTACTATTTAACTATATTAAAAGTGAAATTCAGTGGAAATAGCAACTGATGGGGAATCTCCTAGTTCCATCATTGTTCTTTTCATGACTTTGGAGAACCATTTTCCTAACACAGGGTTTTATGTTCTTCTTCCCTAAAACAAAGCACGATGCCTTGAACACAGTAGGCATTCAGCATATATTTATTAAATTAAATACAACAATATGTCAGCCAGGATTTTGGTTGGAAATAATGCAACTTCAGTTTCAGCTAGCTTTAGCAGATAAGAGGGTTTGCTGGTTTATAGGACAAGTCTCAGGGGAACTACAGGAATGGACCTAGCTTGAGGCATAGCTAGAATCAAGAGCACACACACCATTAGGACCCTCGCTCCTCTGCATTCCTTCAAACCAGCTACCTGCTGCTCTTTAAGGCCACCTGCAGCTCTTACCTTTGTGATCAGAAAGGAAAGGGGCTCCTTTTGCTCTAGTTGAAATATAAAAATTCTAAAGCCAAACTGTCATTGGTCTGATTTGCACCCTTGGACCAATTAATGTGTCTCAAAAGTGAGTCCTATGGAAGTTTTATACACACACACACACACACACACACACACACACACACAGTCCTGAAGTTATATGTATGAAAATTCCCTGAACTTTAGGGAAAAGGAGTAATATACCCATAAATGGGAGATGTCCACCTTGTTAAGATATTTCAGTTTCTTTCCTCTTTAGCTGTGTGGAAGTTATTTTTAGGAGTAAAGGGCCTCAGGGCTCTGCTTTTACTGCAGGTGTTTAAGACTGTCATGCCTTCAGGGTGGATGCCTGAGCCTCCTCTACCCCAATAAGGAAGGGAAGACTCTCTGTTTCCTATAGAGCCTGACATTCGTGTCTGGGAATCACAACAAATCTCTAAGTTTTAGCATGAAATCCTCAATTGTGAGAGAAGCAGCCTCAATGTATTAGTAATAACAGCTACTGTCGGAGGCCAGACCCTCTGTTAGAAGCTCTCTGTGATGTGCTAGGCCAGCTAGCATTGTCTCCTGAAACCCCATTAGTAGCATGTCTTCTCTTTTCACGTTCACTATCTTTGTGGTAACTCAAAGTTGTCATACAAAAAAAGGGCAAATGCAACAAATCAGAATTCCCTCTCTCCTATGAAGAGCCAGTCATTAAACATTTATAACACGTGACTGACAGCTTCATATATTGCCTTACTTAATCCTTAAAGCAGTTTCATAATTGTATCATTATCCTCATTTTAGAAATTAATAAAAAAGGAGAAGAATCAACGAGGTTAAAAAATACTTACTGCATTGCTTACTTGAATATAGTTCTGCCTGTTCTAAAACTCATGCACTACAGTTTAGGAGGCAACTGACAGTGAGTTATTTTTTCCTTAGAAGTTCTTCCATTTGTTATTTGTCACATCAACAACACTGAAATGTCAGCTGTTCTAGGAAAAGGATGTAGTCCATTTGACAAAAGTGCCTTCAGTCAGCTGAAAATCTCTTTTCTGGGTTTCTCCCACTTCTTGCTGCAGGTGGTTCATTGGAGATTGGTCGGAGTGTAGCAAGACTTGTGACGGTGGATTGCGTACAAGAGCAGTGCTCTGCATCAGAAAGATGGGGCCTGCTGAGGAGAAGACACTGGACTACAGTGCTTGCTTAACACACAGGCCCGCTGAAATAGAGTCCTGCAACAACCTGCCATGTCCGCCTCAGTGGGTGGCTTTGGACTGGTCAGAGGTAAGGACATCGGAAGCTGTATGTTTTGAGATGTCTTAACTATTAACATCAAAGCATTTCATATTAAGGACACCTTAATATTAAGAGCATGTGAGCATCTTAGAACTCAATTAATAAGGGGTTTAAACAGTGAATTTGGCCAGGTTATATTTTTTTGCTGCTTATCAGGAAGTAAGTTTTTTGGGGTCAGGGAAATCAATGAGAAACTAGTCTGATTCGAAATAAGCCTCAAGTGAATTTGAAAGAATATTATAGTGAGTACTTCTCTACATGGTTTTTCTTCTTTACTATTCTTGAACAGCCTCATAGGCTTAGAATTAGTGATGTATCTTCTTTCCCAAGTAATCTTCTAGCCTAATTACATAACTCAGATATGAATCTTTGTCAATTTATTATCACTTATTATACAAAGAGGAGAAACCTGGAGCTGAGGTGTAACACACCAAAAAGTCAAATTTAGATTCTATCAGTACCTCCATGTAAATGGTCATTGGGGAAGACCTGGCTAAAATAATGTTTTTCTGGCAGCCATGAATAGAAAAGAGCCTAAAATAAGTTAGAGGTCTCAAAAAAACACTCTCATGAAAAATGAGGTAAGAGGTAGTGTTCATTCTTAACTCTTTATTCTGTAGGAGACATATACATATACACTCTACACCATTCTTCACATTTCCCAAAGGAAAGCTGAGTTCTTCTGTAGTGTCGGTTAATGGCAAGAAGGATGAGTACCTGATTACATGGCTAATAGTCATTCTTCTGGTTGGCAAAACAAGATGCATTTCCTCTTGGAAACATCTACTTGTTTTAGATGTTTTCTATAAACCTCATAAATTTCTTAAAAAATAAACAACAGATTTGCTATTTAGAAACTTCTGGATGTAACTTTCCCCCTGTGACTCTTACTACTTGAGTGGCCTTAGTTTGCTAGAGGTATGGGGCTCACAGAAGGGTGTGGGAATGGAGATTTTGACCAGTTGTGATTATCCATGTACAATCTTTGGCAAGGATTTGGAAGTGTTTTCCCAAATTTCCTGGCCGTAATCCAGCTTTAGTAATTACATTCTGCCCACCTAAATTTTAGTTGTGTTCCAATCAGATGTAGAGATATTCTTGGTATTATTCACTCTGTGGTTATGAAAAATAGTATGAACTTGTCTGTTCCCTAACAGTGGCCGAATTAACTCCTAAATTCATTAGAAAGGTAACATCTCTTGATAAAGAATAGATGTTCTGCAGAGTTGTACACATTAGTACTTTAATTCAGTACCCAAGAAGTCCATCAAGAGTCTTTGATTAATGATGACAAATTTGGTTTTGAAGACTAGAATCATACTGGGGAGGCCTGATGATTGACTGCAGCAGTTTGAGGGTTTCAGGTCAAGTCAGCAAGCATTATTGAGTTTTATTAAACACACTAGTCTAGTCACTATGGAGAATACAAAAGAATTTATAAGATTGGAAAAAGAAGAAATACCCATTTAATAACTGGAGAATAATATAAGGGACTATTTAATAAAATGGTGGATTGTATAGTATAAATGTGTAAGTGATATAGAAATTCAGAGTTGAGAAGGTCAGAATGGCCTGAAATAGGATTGGAAGGTTTTTCAGTTCTTGGGAATTGAGCTTGAATGATGAGGGAATATAGGATTTGAAGTAGGAAAGAGAACTGGGAAACTAGAGAAGGTATTTCTGAGAAGAGAAACAATAGAAACACAAAGACAATGCAGGGTTGGAGAAAAGGGTTGGTTTTAAAGAATAAATGGATGATAAGATTGTCTAAAAGTAGTGCTAGGTTATAAGAAGGCTTGAATACAAAGTTCTATACCACATCATTTTTCTACAGAAAGTGGAGAAAGTTGACAAGCTCATATGCAGACACTAGAAAAAAATTTGTACCAACCACTAAAACACCAAAGCCTTTCTCATGTGCAGACTCATTTCACATTGTCTCTTGACCTACCTATTTCTATATAATTGTATTTTTAATTACATTGAGAAATAGCTGCTTATATTACTGTACATTTCCATTCCAAATAGCATTTTAAACTTTTCTTCCTAATTCAACCTATAGTGGTTGTAGTTACCCTCTTTTAGAAGTTTGATTCTTATCTATCCAGTCTTAAAGGCTTTTAGGTACTGTTAGGAGCTGCCTGAAGAAGTATGTGTAAACTAAAGGGGCTTTGAATCACATTGCTGCTGTCTTTTTTAAGATAGCTGAGTCAAAGTTTAGGGGAAAGAAGTTGTGCTGAAGGTGTCAAGTGTATGTGTTGGGACAGTCACCTTGAATCTTGGTAGCCGCTGATGTCTCTCCATAGACAATACAGAAAAATGATCCTAGGGTAAGCACTAGTCAAAAAATGCAGCCATTACTCATTACTATCTCAAATATTCATTGGTACTATCATCTTCATCCTTTATTCAGGAGGAAAGATGATTTTTTTTTTTTTTTTACCTTATTCAGTCCTGTTTATTTTCCACAAGAGGAATGCACTCTCTCCCGTTCATTTCCTTAAGTTACCAGGAAACCCACCTCTTCCCTTGATGGGTTAAAAAATAGGTGAAAGTAAAGAGCATTAAATGGAAAACAAAGTGAAAACAAGGAGCCTGTTCCTCCCACTAGTGAAAAAAAAAGGAAACTGATGAACAAAAACAGACCCAGAGAAAGAGAAGCAGCAATCAGACTCTCAAACCTCAGAGGGAAAGTAGGGGAGGGGAGGGGTAAGGGGGAGAGATCAACCAAAGGACTGTGTGCATGCATATGGGCCTAGCCAGTGGCCATGGACAACAGGGGGGTAAGGGCATATGTAGGGAGGGGTTTGGGATGGGAATGGGGGGATGAGGACAATTATGTGATATTATAATCAATTAAAAAAAAAAGAAAGAAAGAAAAAAGGAGGCCTCGGCCAACAGAAGGGCAGACAATCAATCTCTTTCAGTTAACTTTTGCAAATATTTCACACCATATTTCTTTTGACACGCCCATGAAAACTTCCCTCCTTTTTCTGCCCTCTCCCATGTCCAACTATCAGCTGTCTGAGCTCTGCTCATCACAAGGGTGAGGTTCGACTGGTGGAAACATGTTGCAGGAAGAGGAATGTACCCTTTGACCTTTCTCTTTTCATTGCCGGCCGTTCTAATATAAAATTTCCGTTGTTGCCAGGCCAGGACCCGTTCTTTGTTTTCTCCGTCAGTGAAACCCAGCCAGTGCTTATGGCAAAAGAAAAGAAAAAAAAGAAAAAAAGCCAAATGACCTCAGTAGAAAATGGCTCTTCAGAAGCCTTTTGTGAAATGAAGCCACAGTTTTCCCATTCCTTATCATCTAGCCTCACTCTTGGGATCACCCATGCCATGTTGGACTTAAATAGTTTTCTGTTTCTCTCTGTCTTGGCATCTAACTTAACAGCATACTGTGGATGTGCTCCAGCAATCCCAAACCTTTCTTTTGATGCATCAGGATAGTTTCTTCATGCTCACAGAGCACCCATTGGGAATGTTCTGTTTCTTAGACTTACTCTTGGACAAGTGATGACCGGCATCATAATCAGTTGACTTTATAGGACTTACTTTTGGGTTGCATTTCTTAAGAAGGATGGAGGGCCGGGGAGAGGGATGGGGAGATCTACTCAAAAGGGACTGTGCTTTGCTTTGTAGACAACTGTGATATCACCTTGTTTACTCCCAGGTTCCACTCTGGCCCATAACTAAGCAAATGAAACCCACCTCTCCAGAGAGAACTCAGTCTAACCCCAAAATATGAACATTTCTATCCTTTACATGTGAGAGCCAAATTGTTTTCCCTGGTGTAGTTTAAAATACTTTTTTTTCCTTAAAAATTTGTTTTTCTTTCTCAATCATAGAACATTAAACAAAAACATAAATGCATTTCTCACAAAAAGCACTTCTTATATCCTACTGAGATGAAAACAAGACAAAAAAATGATCTGGTCAGATTTTAAATGTTAAGTTCTCATGATATGGCTTACTGGCATGGCTCAGTGAGTGTCAGATATGGCTTGGCTGGCATGGCTCAGTGGGTGTCAGCCTATTAACCAGGAGGTCACAGTTCGATTCCCAGCAGGGCACATGTCCGGATTGAAGGCTCGATTTCTGGTGTGGGATGTGCAGGAGGCAACTGATCAATGATTCTCTCTCAGCATTGATCTTTCTATCTGTCTTTCTCTCCCTTCCTCTCTGAAATCAATAAAAAATGTTTTAAAAAAGGCTATCATTCAATTTTATGTCCCCCTTTTCTCAGTCTAGTAACTATAGAAAATATGAAAATGTTTTTGGTTTTTTAAGTGAAAGGTCTGTAAACAGGTTCAAAATGTTGTAGGTAAGGTTCTCATGTGGCTGAGAGAAAGTAGAGATTTTAAGGAAGTGAGCAACTCCTCACTTCACACAGATAAGTTCTTGTGGTCTACTAATAACATAAGAATTTTCTTCAGAAGACTACACCCAGCAAATAGAAAACCAACAATTCCATATTCCAGAAACTAGCAGAATCTTATCACAGCTGAATGTGGCCAAGGATAGGGAGGAATCGAGGAATAAACCTACCCACAATAAAAAAAAAAGGAAAAAAAAGAAACTAAGTTAGCCAAGAAAAGCAACCTTTGGGTTTAGTTCTTCAAGACCTTGTGGAAAAAGGTAAAAGTACTTCTGCTTAAAAACCTAGGGAATTTTCATATCTGAAAGACTTTGCCTAGGATTTAGTGTGTACATGTACTGTATATCCTAACACATACTTACTTTAAGAAACACTTTCTCTTGGAATTTTCCTCTACCCTTTAACTGTCGTTGTTCATTAATATTTGTTTTCTTTCCAGTGCACTCCCAAGTGTGGTTCAGGATTCAAGCATCGGATTGTTCTGTGCAAGAGCAGTGACCTTTCTAAAACATTGTCAGCTGCGCAGTGTCCATACGGGAGCAAACCCCCTACCCGCATGCGCTGCAGTTTGGGTCGCTGCCCTCCTGCTCGCTGGGTGACAGGAGACTGGGGCCAGGTAAGGCAGTTGTACTGTGGACTCCTCTGAGGCAGCACCTGAGACACAGGTAGCAACATATAGAAATCTAGGTGTGAGATATGAGTGTGGAGCAATGCACAAACAGTAGCATCCACCCATAGACACACTTAGCTATGTTTCTCCATTCCTACATACTTCTCACTTCTACCAACTCCTTGGATCCTGACATTTTAACTTAAAATTAAAAGCAAAATAGTCTAGATGGCCAGAGATTTGAACAAACTACCAAAAATTTGAATTTTAATCCCAACTTTCTCAACTAATTTAAGAACAAGTCAGTTAACACCAGTGTCTTAATTTTCCTACTTGCAAAGTAAATCCTTTTAACCTCGCAGAAAAGATAGGAGGGTTTTGATTGACAGTCTTTGAGATGTCATTAATACTTATTCTTCTATGGATTTTTCTGATGGACATTATGAATTGGGAAACAAGTATATAGGGCTTTTGGTATCTATTTTTATATTATACCCATTAAAAGGCACCTAAAATCCTTTAAAAGCAACTTGTTATTTTTGCACAGAAGGAAAGTTAAAGTATTGTTGTTTTTTAGTGTACAAAAGAAAATCTATTAGGTTATGTTAAAAATGACACTCCAGAAATTAAATTACTAGACTATCAATGCTCTTTTTCTGTGATTTTATGGTTAACCTTCTAGTAAATCATTTTTTAAATATCTGAAACCAAAATAAATTATAATGGCATATAACTACACTGGCACCATTTTGTTTGTGCTCTGTTTCTACCGTTACTTATTAAAAATGGCACTTCATAGAAATTGTTACCAAAATTCTGGCCAAAATTCCAAAATTCAAAGTATTGCTAGAGTATAGCAGTATCCTATAGACCTCTTCTGTCACATTGGAGAGCAGGCAAAGATTTTCAGTGTTCATTAAGGCAAATTAATATACTTGCTCAGCCTTGTGAGGCAATAAAGGAAGTATGATCATAAAGTAATTAACATTTGCATTTGTATAGCAAATAATTAATAATTTGGTTTTCTATAACAGTATTTAGTTTAATTTACAAAGTACTCAAGTGGAATACACATGAGCATTGTATGCAATTAAGTGTTTCATTGTAGAAGTAAGACAGTGTCACAATATATAATTGATATTACACTATTAATGAATCAGAATGGGGGGTTGGAGGGATGGATGGATTGAACAAAAAAAAGAAAAAAGAAGAGAGAGTGAGCTCAAGGACATGGACAACAGTATGGTAATTGCTGGGGGGAGGGTAGTAGGGGAATAGGGGAGATAAATGGTGATAGAAAAAAATAAATAAATAAAAATAAATATTTGCAAAAAAAAAAAAAGTATCAGTACAAACATGCTCTCATCATTTTTATTTAAACAAGGTAGGAATTTCTTTCCTTATATATTCATCATTGCAATGAACTGTTATATAAAGGCCCATTGAAAGTTTTAGCATGTTGCCCGGACCGGTTTGGCTCAGTGGATAGAGCGTCGGCTTGGGGACTGAAGGGTCCCGGGTTCGATTCCGGTCAAGGGCATGTACCTTGGCTGCGGGCATATCCCCAGTAGGGGGTATGCAAGAGGCAGCTGGTCGATGACTCTCTCTCATCGATGTTTCAAACTCTCTATCTCTCTCCCTTCCTCTCTGTATAAAATCAATAAAATATATTTAAAAAAAAAGAGAAAGTTTTAGCATGTTAGTGATTTCCTGAAATTTACAGTTATCAATTTGAGATTATTCTTTTAAATGTTTTTGAATCCTTTTCTTCTCATCTATATTTTCAATTCAGTTTCCTAAAATTGAAATTAACCAGTAAAAAAAGCAAAGATGCTCTACTACATTTCTACAGTGCAGTTATTTGTCATTCTGTGTTAAGAAACTTAAAAGTAAAAGTGTCTGTGAATATCCTTGCAAGTTCTCTATGTGCTTTTTGAGAGTTTTTGTAAACAAAACCTACAGGCCTTGGTTTGTTTACCTTGTAAATATCCCCGTGGCCTGTCTTGGCACCCTTTAGCTCCTCATTCCTTTGATTTCAGATCTCACAAGCTTTCCGGTATTCTGGGTGGCAGGCCCAAAGAATAGATGGAGCCTCCTTCTTTAACCTGGACAGCTGATCAGTCCCAGCTGAAACTAAGCCGCTCAGAGAATAACTTCAATTCTGAAATAACAAAATCCCTGAGCAGATAAAGAAGGAGAGGGACACATTGCTAATTGGCTAACAGCTTCTCAGGCTTGTGTGGCTAATAGTACCTTACAAAATTTGTGGAACTTATTTAAATTTTCTTTTTTTTAAAATATTTTAAATTCATTTCAGAGAGGAAGGGAGCAGGAGAGAGAGAGAGATAGAAACATCAACAATGAGAGAAAAGCCATTGATTGCCTTCTGCATGCCCTCCACTGGGGATCGAGCCCCCATCCTGGGCATGTGCTCTGACTGGGAATCAAACCATGACCTCCTGGTTCATGGGTGGATGCTCAACCACTGAGCCATGCTGGCCAGGCAAACTCTCTCTCTCTCTCTCTCTCTTTTTTTTTTTTTAACTGGCTGTGTAACCAGGCCTCGTAGCAGTCACTACTGTTACACTGAACTAATGCTTTGGACAGATTCAGAGCACACAAGTAGACCATTAGGTTGTTTGCCCACAAGCCTATAATAAGTAGTGAGCAATAAGTAGTGATAGCCATTCTACTTCATCATGAGAGTTTTCTTATTATACTCCTATTAAGAGTTCACCAGCACTGCTTGGAACTATGGAATGCTAGTACAAGGAACCTTCATCTCTTATCTTCTAGGAACTATATTGCTTCCATTTTCTAGGGTAATGGCATGACCTTTAAGATGCCAAACCAGTTCTATAGTAGAATGACCTAATCATGCACCTCTCCAAGATGAACTACATATGGGCTTTAATATATGTGATGCAAATATATGTGATATTTGAATTGACATAATATCTTTTTTACCTCCTGAAAATTGTTGAGATCGGCGTTTTGTTTCTCTCTGTCTTTGGGTTTAGTGTTCTGCTCAGTGTGGCCTTGGACAGCAAATGCGGATCGTGCAATGTCTCTCCTTCACTGGGCAGGCATCTAGAGACTGTCCAGAAACTGTGCGGCCTCCATCGATGCAGCAGTGTGAAAGCAAATGTGACGGTACCCCCACTTCCAATACTGAAGGTGAGTTTCCCAAGAAGAAGAAGCCTGTGGTCTCTAGTGACGCACGCATACTGGTTCCCAGTGTTTGAAGAGCCCATGTAAACACTGTTTGTGTAGAGCCGTGGTCAGCAAACTGCAGCTCGCGAGCCACATGAGGCTCTTTGGCCCCTTGAGTGTGGCTCTTCCACAAAATATCATGGCCCGGGCGAGTCTATTTTTTAAGAAGTGGCGTTAGAAGAAGTTTAAGTTTAAAAAATTTGGCTCTCAAAAGAAATTTCAATCGTTGTACTGTGGATATTTGGCTCTGTTGACTAATGAGTTTGCCGACCACTGGTATAGAGCATTTATGAAAGCTGAGCTGTGTCTTCGGACACTTTCCCTAACTGTATGACCTTGTTAAATCATTTAATCTTTCTGGAGTTAATTTTACTAATGTTAATGTAAAAAGCATTCACACTTGTAAAAAATTTTTGGGAGTTTATTTGAGCCAAACCCAGCAATTCCGGGAAGCAGGATCTCAATGTATTGGAATAATGCTCCAGAGAATGGCAGTTTTCACCTTATTTTATACATTACAGTCAAAGGTGGAGACCCAAGTGGATTACATGAAATCCATTGGTAATAGATTAGGGAGGCCGGAGAAAGCAAAAGGGAGAGGGGTTGGATAGGAGGAGGCGGTCCCCTGGGATTGGATGCAAGGCATTAATAAAATGATAGACACATACAGGATAGTTAACATTCAACAGTTAGCATAACAATAACAGTGTAGGGATTTGTGGTTTCTGTCCTGGTGCCCTGGTGTATTTGGTTCTGGAAAAAGGGAAGCTACCAATTATCCTGACTTTTCAAAGGTATGTTATCTTAGGTAAAGATCAGAAGTTCATCCTTGTCAAGGGAGATACTGGCCTACTATGTGACTAGCCAGTATATACCGTATTTTTCGGACCATAAGACGCTCCGGACCTTAAGACGCACCAGTTTTTAGAGAAGGGAAATGAAGAAAAAAAGATTCTGAAACAAATAGTGTCCTAAAATATTTTATGTGCATTAAAACCCAACATCACAGTCATAAACACATGTAATCAACCCTGTAAAGTAAACAGCAGCATTTAGAACCATTTTAGAGCTGGGCAAACACACAGAGACCACACAGAGCCGGGCAAGTAAAAAAACTTTTTTTTAAAAGTATATGTGTAGGCTATATTTGGACCATAAGACGCAGGGACTTTTCCCCCCCACTTCTGGGGGGAAAAAAGTGCGTCTTATGGTCCGAAAAATACGGTAAGTGCTTTTTAATTAAAGGTTTTTATTTTCAGACCATTCTTTGTTACTTTAGGTCCTTGAGATTGCAAGATTGCCATTCAGGCCTTCCTTAAATTTGTCAGGTTAGCACGTGGCCTCTTTTTCATCCACACTAATCTATATAATGAGAGATTGGACTAATGATCTCTAAGGTCACATCCAGCCTAGCATTCTATGTTCACTTGGTGTTAGAAATATAGACATGATTTCTAATGAGCTATGCTTAAGAGTGAAAACTTCTGTTTCTTTGTGGATGTAACTATAGCTCTCTGCCATCATGAAGATGAAAAGTCCTACTTGTTATACCTATAATGAAAGCATATGTTTGAAACTAATGTTTCAAATGCTAATTTTCTCATTGTAGAAAAGTAAAAAAGATAATTACATAGCAGTTTTTATAGGAGGGCAAATTTTAGATTTTGAAATTTCTTTGTTATATATTGGGAAATTTCTTTACTAACAACAGATAGCCACCCAAATCCTAAATTTTCTTCTGTCTTTAATTAACTATACTTGATTTATTCAGTTAGATATTTCTTTGAAATTTCCTGAATGCTACTTTGTGCAAGGCACTATAACCGAAACTGGGGTGTATAGAGACAAATATGACTGCCTTCTCATCTGAAAATAAAGGCATGATCAAATACATACACACGAACATCTGAAGCCATGAATTTAAGTTATGTTGGAATCACAGCGCTAGGGCTCTGTTTGAAAAACAAAGTAAAACAGAAGTAACTAACTATCCTAAATATAGTCATTAATATTTTTCAAATGAAAATTATATTTTCATAAGCCTGTTAAAAAGAGATATATTCCTTTTGACCAGCTTTATTCAATTAGAAGGATTTTCTTTAAGTCCTATTTTTTAATGGTTCCATAGGAATTTGATTTTAGAAAGACCAATCACCTTGCATGACAGGATACAGAAACATTGTGTCTTTACAAATTGTCTGGTTTTTATATCAGAATCTCAACACAATATACCTCTTGTATAACGCTTTTGAAGAAATATAGCCTTATTTTTAATTAGTTCAAAGTTACAGTGTTAATTTGCAAAATCTCTGACTCTAAATAATCTAAATAAAAATATCTTCTATAGGACTGCAGCAAGTAACTTTTTTTTTTTTTGCAAATAAAACTTTTATCCATTATAAATTATTAGTGATCAATCAAATGGATTTGGGAATCTGTTTTTCTATCAGAGTTGGAAAATAAACATTAAAATGGAAGAGAGGCTATAATTATAATATAAAATTTGTTTCTGTTGGGTATTATGGTAGGCCCTTTGTATTTATTACCCATCTTATATATCTCATACATAAATACCTGTGAGAGAGAGTATATATATTACATAATTATGATAACAGCCTTCTAAGAGTATGTATTACTGATGAGGAAACTGTGGCACAGAGAAAAGTAATGACTTGCCTAAATCACAAGATTCAGAAGTAACAGTCAGTATTTTAACCCAAATTTGGCAGAGTCTAAGGGTATGTCAGTTTCAACTACATTTATATGCTATTTGTTATTCACTTTTTAAAATTGGGTAATTTAATATGAACACAGAGCTTCTGGTTATGAAGTAGACATACTTCTGGCATTACCATTAACCTGATTCAATGGATAAAGGCTTAATCGTTGCTGAAAGAACTGGCTTTTAACATGCCCACAATAATATCTGTTGAGGTTATGTTTAATCCTTCATTTTCAGCCATTTTAATAATTTCTCCAAAAGTTTATCTATAGTCAATAATTATTACACATAAGCCTTGCAGCTGAAGATGAAATGCTCTTTTTAGATAAGTTGGCAGAATATCATTTGTAATTTCACTTCTTTCTGTTTTAGAGAAATTACCTTAAAGTGGATAGATATTAATGTGATGTTACTCGGATTATTTAGAGAAACATCTCATAATCATTTAATCTGCCCGGACAAATAACCTTTTATTATATTAATGTGAAATAAGCAGTTAAGACAATATTTTTAGTTTTTTTCAGTAAAGGAGGAAACTTTTAGAAAATTATTAATCCTATAATGTATGACTAATCTCAAAATTGTTATTCAGCTAAAGCTGTTGACTTCTTTAAAAGAGGATCACTCTTTTTTACAAAACTAGAACTAAAGTACAAACAATAAACAATATGTTTGTTATAACTTGTTTTGTGATCTCTTTAGATTCTTATTAGCATATATTGAATATATTTAAATACCTGAAACTATCTGTTTATTTAACAATAGCTAATTATTGAATGCTTGCTGTGGCCTACTGCCTAATTTCATTATGGAAAATTCAAATACTTTTATAAGTTCATAATCTTATAAAGAATAAACTTTGAAAGCGGGTCATTGGAAGTTATGAGACAGTTTGCTGAGAAGCCGTTGAGATTCTGGGCATTCTTGGCAGAGGATGAGTATGCAGGCATGGTGGTGTGGAGTGTGTTCAACATTGCTATCATGGGTTGCCAATGAGCAGCAGTGAAAATGAAGTCACAAAAAGAGAGGGAGACTTAGTTTTGGAGGGTCCTGCATGCAGAAGAAGAAATTTAGGACACTCTACCTACAAGTCATAGGAAACAAGTACAGGAAGTTAGGGAATGATATCCTTAGGATGGCAAGAGTATCAGGGAGCTGAGAGAGGGCAACCTTGTGTGGGAGAAGAGTTAGAAAGTTGTTCTAAGGTACCAGGGTAGAGTTGATGAAGTCTTGCATTAAAGCAGATTGAGTACAGGTCAAAAAGAAGGTAACAAATTGAAAATAAGAAAAATGAATAGAAAGGAGAATAAAAAGAACCAGATACACAAGTAGACACAAAGGTGGTCAGTATGACTTCCAAGTTTCAAATTCACTCATTAATCATGGTACTTTTAATCATGATAAGGAATTTAGCCATCTATAAGGAAATTAAGCATCATAGTATCCCAAAGCTATTATAAAATAATGGAATTTGAGGGGCAGGAGTTCGGGGCTGGGTGAGAAGGGTGAAGGGATTAAGAAAAAAAAGAAAGACTCATGGACACACAACAATGTGATTATTGCTAGAGGGAAAAGAGGTAGAGGGAGTTGAAGAGGTAAGGGGGGATAAATGGTGATGGAAGGAGAACTAGACTTGGGGTGGTGAACACACAATATAATATACAGATTATGTATTGCAGAATTGTATACTTGAAACCTATATAATTTTATTAACCAAAGTCACCCTAATAAATTCAATTAAAAAGTAAAAAACAATAAATAAAAAATAAATAATGGAGAGAAGTTGAAGAAATGGAAGGAAGTTAAGCAACAAAAGACAGATAGATAGTAAGAGAAAGAAAATAAAAATGAAAAGTAAATAGGAGGAGGAAGAGGAAGACAAAATCTGCCATGTTCCACATCTGCTTTAGTTTTCTATTTCTGAAAGCCTTCAGCTGAGAGTTAAAGCGCTATAGGCTTGATCTTGACAGACTGCCACTGGCGAGGGTAACACGGCGGTGCTGCCGAGAGTGAATTATAGGCATGCTGGGTATCACTGCATTTGAAATACTACTCAGAGTAATTTTTTAAAGTACATCTGGCAGCTAGGACTGGCCTACTCCAGCTCACCTGAAATTCTATCCCAAATGCCATTTTATTCATCTTGATGCAGTTTCAAGTTCCCTTGTAGTTTATATGATGAGTCTTTTCAGCTTTTCAGTAGCACAAGGCACGCTGTCATCTAGTATTTATTGCTGCCAGG